CTCCTTATATTGAGGACTCACTTATGCAAAAGAGGCCCTGAGTTCTCTGGCCTCCTCCTAGTTAATACTGAGAGCAGACACCAAGCCACTGTGACTTGAAATCTGGTAGCAACTACCCTGGCTTTAATTATTTTAAGAAAATTATTTAAAATCCTTTCCTTTCCCTGAGGAGACTGGTGAGACCCCACCTCCCTTGCCTCTAGTGACTGCACGTCCCTGGTTGCTACATAGTACAATATTTGAAAAAATCTTTTGATGAAAACTTTTTATTCTGGAACTTTAGTGGGATATTTCTCTTCCTTCTGTTCTTTAGTGGGATATTTAAAAGGTAGTAGAACTACCTTGAGAGACATCTTAAATGCCTGCATCCTTTTCATTCTAGAAATAAGTATTTTCCTTTTATCTTTCTTCCCTACTTGTTGAGTTCTACTTCAACTTATTTTTCAATTAATTTTTATGGTTACAAGTAAAGATTCCCAGAATGCAGCTTTAAGATGTAAGGTGTAAGATTTAAGCCTGTATGATTATTAGGAGTTTTTAAAGCATTAATCTATAAGCAGCAGAGAAAAAAAAAATAAAGATCTTACAATCTTAAATGGTAACAATCTCACCATTTATAAATCAGATAAAGATACGGAAAGTTATATAGAATAAATTGGTTTTAGAAATGTCATTTATGTGTTTTATGCTAATGTGCAAGTTTACTTCCCTATTAATTATGTTAATTGCATGTGTACAAAATTAAAAGAATACTTAATGAATATCTACCGGTTGATTGAAGGAGTCCAATTCATCTTATATGCATCTATTTTGGAATTGTTTTTTATTAATTAGGTAAAAGTTGGAGATAAAGAAATGGATGTGATGAATGGCTTCAGACTTTATATCACCACCAAGCTTCCAAATCCAGCCTATACCCCTGAGATTAGTGCTCGGACCTCAATAATTGATTTTACTGTCACCATGAAAGGTCTAGAAGATCAGCTTCTAGGGAGAGTGATTCTAACAGAAAAACAGGTACGTAGAAAGAAATTTGTGAGTAAATTTGTGACTGTTTATTGAAATATATTTTTATTCCAGGGATGGGTAAAATAAGCAATTATGTGGAAAAATTATCTTATAAATCCTTCTCTCCCTCCCTCCCTCCCTCCCTCTCTCTCTCTCTCTCCTTTTCTCTCTCTAAAGATTCCCCCCCACACAAATTAAAACCATTTAGGTTTCTATGAGAAAAACAACTGACATATTTTAAAGGTGTTTCTTGCAACACCTCCAAATAGTTCTCTTAATTGGTTTTGTGATTTGTACAAAATAGAACTACTTTTTTCATTTATCTGTTGACTCCTCAGAATTCCATTGGAACACGGGCAGCCGTATAAATCTGTTGAAAAAAATAAAACATAACCAATAGGCGCTAAATAATAAACACATTTTTTATGCTTAGCTGACATATTTCTTGTTAAATAGAGATTCTAGGAAGATATGACAGCTAATGAGTTCATAGTGGGCACTGAGGAGAGTTTTAATTAATAAAAAGCTAATAAAAGCACACCTTCAGAACTGCTGTTTGCTTTTAGGGGAAATCATCCATTTATTTAAAATAAACGGGTAAACCCTGAGGAAAGATTTTTGTTACACTCATTGTAGACATGGAATAATTAACTTCTCTACTCTGCTCCTCAAGATCTTTCAGATTGTTTTCTGAGCCGAGGTGGCGCAGTGGTTAAATGCAGCACTGCAGGCTACTTCAGCTGACTGCAGTTCAGCAGTTCAGCTGTTCTAATCTCACCGGCTGAAGGTTGACTCAGCCTTCCATCCTTCCGAGGTGGGTAAAATGAGGACCCGGATTGTTGTTGGGGGCGATATGCCGACTCTGTAAACCGCTTAGAGAGGGCTGAAAGCCCTATGAAGCGGTATATAAGTCTAATAAAATAAAAATAATAAATAAATAAAAATTTTCTTTTTGTTCCGTGATTGGTATTTATATTTGGCTTTAAAAAAAATGTGTATGAGAAAAATTAGTATAGAAACAGACTCAAGTAAATAAAAGGAATTTACAAATCTGAAGATCTGCCTGTCTTGAAATTGCACCTTCAGCCTGCTGCTTAGTCTGGAGGAAAAACTAGGTTCTTCTGAAGAATAAAAAGAACTTAGAATTAGAAGGGCATGATCGGAGGTTCAGATGCCATGATTTTCATGGTAGATAATGTGAAGGCTAATGTAAATTTTAGGAATTATTATATTACAAGTGCCATAACAGATATAAAGCTAGACTGCCCAAAAATACATTTATAATATGTTTCTCAGCACAGAAGCATTTTTATAGGACAGAAAAGATAGATAAAGCAATATGGTTGACTCATCCAGAGTTGTTAAGAACAGGATCATTGAGAATATAAGATGAAATCAAGAGCAATTGACTGCAGAGGGATTTAATTTATAATGCTTTTTATATGCACAGTTAAAAAAAAGATTTAAGATAGATAGTAGGACATTTGAAATTGAAAAGCAGAAGATAGTATTTGAACTAAGTACAACAAATGAACATGTGATTGCTAAAAAAAAGGACAAATTTTTATTAAAATTTGAAACCTAAGAAAAGCAAGTGAAATACGTAATAAATGTGCTAAGAACTTTGGACACACTGTACTGATAGATCAATGGGAAAAGATGTAGTTAAAAGCATTGCTATAACTTAAAAGATATATTTTATAAAATGATGTACCATTGGGATATGACTACGAAACAGTTGTCTAGAATGTATAAAATTGCTTCAGATTGGGATTACATGGAGGGTTATTTTATCATGCTTGACGGATTTGCAAAAAAAAAGCCATATTTAATCACAGTTCTTTCTTATTTTCGTTATTTCTACTATTTATGTTATTTTTAACTGGTTGAAAAGTTGTTCAATAAAATTATAGTTTCAAAAAATCCATGATAAACCGAGGTTGTTTACATCATCCTTACCATCTAAATTAAACCACCTAATTCATAAAAAGTTTATTATTCAGATATGAGGACAAAAACAGATCATACTTTTCTCATTTGTATTTGTGATTTGTGTTGAATTCTCACTAATCAGAAGGTCAGAGAAGAGAGGGTAGTATGTTGCCTTGAGCTTTGAATCTAGTAGATAACATGATATTTAGTTATTAGTGCAAATCAGACTATTATGCCTAATTGCATTTCTGCACCTGTTAGGGAACAAATTTGTCATGGTTTCAAACTGATATTTGAATTTGGCATTTAGAAGTCATGATAAAAACCAGGATAATTTATGAGAATTTGAGGAAAGCTGGCTGGAGAACTTGATAATTTATTTCTCTGAAATGTTGCTAATTTTTTTTTAAAAAGCTTTTTTTTAACTCCTATTTTGTAAAGTGAAAAACAGTTTCTGCCAATTGCTTACTTTTTCCTAATGTAAATAGCAACTTTGAAGGTTTGCTTTAAAATGTGATATTTTTTTTAGCCAATGAGGATGAAGTTAAATTCTCCCTCGGTGCTTGCTCAAAATTATCACATTTTCCCAAGCAAGTGATGTTTTTCTTTGAAAAAAAATGTGCAAGTTAAACATAATGTATATTTATTGTATTGTTTAGATTAGCTGTAAAGTTGACAGATTCTTTTTTCACAGAAATTTAAATAGCTTAAAATTGTGAAAGAACTTTGCAGTGAGTTAAAAGAAAATGACTACACATTCTAGATGATAATGTGTTTAGTTAATTATCAGGATGTCATTCCTGCCAGCAAAAGGCTAAATCCATTTTTCTAGTTTTTATTCTTCCTTTAGGTATCTCATTTAGTAAGCAATATTACATAGTGAGATAAGATGAGTACCGTGGTGTTCAGAATATAATAGTAAAATCATTGTGTCAGCGTTGCAAATATCATGCAGAATTAAATCAGACCCAAGGCAAAGCTATCCTTAAAGTTCCAATTTAATAAGACAGACATGTTGGCACATCTGTGGGAATCCCGAATCTGAAAGCTTCCTGGGATTCCCACCCAGTTGAAAGTTCAATATCTTGCCCCCCCTCCACAAGTTCATCACATGGTCCAATCTTCCTCTGCCACGCTGGCATTTCCACCCATCTAGTTCCGGTCACGTACAGAGGTGCAGAGACAAAGAATGACTTTGGGCTTCTAGAAAGGAATGACAACACCGCATTCTACAATTCTACTCCTTACTATT